AACCTTTTTCGGAGGTTGCAAAGTAGTTCATCTACCCTTTGTTGGGCATTATAGGCAGTTTGTTTCCCCTAACTGAAATAACAATGAAATAAACACTTTTGTGTATGCAACATTTTCTTTCTTTTGGAATATTTCTTTGGGATTAATTTCCGGAAGAAGGACTGCTGAATCAAAGTATATGAATTTACTTGTCTTCTTGATGTATCTGTGAATTCCTTCCAAGAATACGTTGTACTAATTAAAGTGATAGCCACAGTCATCAGTCTTAAGTATCAAAACAGTTGTCACTGGCATTGAGTATTATTATTTATTACTTAAAAAGTCATTTGAGTTATAAAAAAATATCTTTTAGATTGTTAGGTTGAATTTCCCAATAGCTTGAATTTAGAGTTCATATGTTTGTTCACCTCTCTCTTCAACATTTAACAAGAGAGTGCTGATTGTTCGGGATATGGAGATGAATTAGACAGGGTTTTTGTCCTCAGGGAGTTTTACATTCTGTTGTAACTTAGATTCGAATCGTTAAATAACTTAAAATCTTGCTATCTTGCTAAAAGTTTACTATCATTTGTGAACTTTGTTATTATATGGCTGATAATCTTTTATATAAAATAGACTTTCCGGGGCGCCTGGGTGGCTCAGTCGTTTGAGCGTCCGACTTCAGCTCAGGTCACGATCTCACGGTTCGTGAGTTCGAGCCCCGCATCAGGCTTTGGGCTGATGGCTCAGAGCCTGGAGCCTGCTTCCGATTCTGTGTCTCCCTCTCTCTCTGCCCCTCCCCCATTCATGCTCTGTCTCTCTCTGTCTCAAAAATAAATAAACATTAAAAAAAATTAAAAAAAAATAAAATAGACTTTCCAATTAAGCATCTAATTCTTCATATTGATAATTCCTTTTTTTTTTCTTACAAAGGGAGTTTTAATTAATTTTTAATGTTTACTTTGAAAGAGAGAGAGCATGAACGAATGGGGGAGAGGCACAGAGGAAGGGAGGGAGGGAGAGGAAGAAAGAGAGAATCCCAAGCAGGCCCCATGCTTTCAGCACAGCCCAATGCAGGGCTTGATCTCACAAACAAACTGTGAGATCATGACCTGAGCTGCAATCAGGAGTCAGATGCTTAACTGACCGAGCCATCCAGGTGCCCCTACAAAGGGATTTTTAAATGATATCTGCAATTTGTGTAATTTCTGTTTTGCATGTCTTTATAATCTTAAAACTGACAGCTCCATGTTTTGTTCTTTGCAATAAATTATGCAACTAGTACTTAGTTGAATTTTTAGATTGTTATAATTCTTTACAGTTACTCAAAACACAGAGACCATTGTTTCTGTTAAATAAGGTTAGCATTGCATTGTTGACATTTTTTTGAGTTTCAAAGGGAGAATGATACCAGTCTGTTTGGATAGAAATTGTACCACTGTGAGGGCATTGCTCAGAGTTTCTAGTTCTGGAATCTAGATGGTTCGATTTGGCATAAGCAGAGAACTTCACCACCTCTGAAGTGAGTCAAATAATTGAGTTACCTGCAAGCACCTAGCTCTGTGTTTGACACATGCTAGGGACCCAACAAATGTTCCTGCAACCTCAAATAACCTCTGAGTTCCCAGTTCTAAAATTCTCATACTTTAGAAGTTCAGTAAAAAAAAAAAAAAAAAAAAAAAAAAAAAAAAAATTGTATAAACGGTTTATATATTAATGTTGTGGTGAGTTTAAAATTGTGAACTTAAAATTACTTCCTCCTAATGTTCTTTTTCGGATTAAACTCATCAGTTTTAAAAAGAGTTATGGCGTATTTCCAAGTATATCCTGTCCATTCTGATGTCATATATTGCTGCATGACTTAATGCCAAATTCACATCTTATGAAAGTGATCAGGGTTAAACATGAATGTATTTAAGCTTTCATATGTTATTGAGATGAAGCATCCATCCCCCCTCTCCCCTTTTTGTGCGTGAATTTTGGGGATTACAAGTGATAGTTTTTATGTGCTTTTCAGTCTTTCATGTACAGAGTTAATATTGGCCCATTCAGGTTATGCATTTTTGTAATAGTGGTTATGGACACTGAATGATTTCACACACTCTTTACAGTCCCCATCTCACAGTTTTGAGATGAGTGCTTAAGAGGGCACTTTGTTTCAAAGTTAAATGATCCAGAAGAGTATTGAACCTATAAGCTTAGCTTATCATGATGTACTGATCAGCAAAGCAGTTTAACAGAGAACTATGCCATGCTCTTGTTTCCGCTTGAAAATAGGCCTTTAGAGGTAGAAAGTAAATGTGTGTACCAACAAGAAAAGGAAATTGTGTGTGATGATTATGGTGGAGTTGAAACAAGAAACAGTGTACTTTTATAAGTGGTCTAAAAATAATCATTTTAATATAATTTTCAGAAGTATATGCTATGCACATGGTGGATTAAATATGTTTTATGAAATTAACTTCAATCATTAGAGAAGTTAATGGCTTTTTTTTAAAGGTACTGATGACTTATTTTTTTAGGCTAATTCCAGATAAGTCTGGGAAAAAATTACTTTACATATTCAGTTTTCTATTTCTAGCCTATTTAGTTGCCATTGATAGAGATTGGTTCAAAGTGTAGAATGGTAAAGGTAACAGAATTTGGAATTAAATATGTAATCCCGTGTTTGGTTTCAGAATTTATTCAAGTTAGTCCATATTTCATAAGAATAGGAATATACGAAGCTACACTTTGTAATTGGTAAAAGGTACTGTTGGATTAATTAAAACTTGAAGTACCTTACTTTGAACTCCAAGTATATATACCTGTAACATTCATGGTTGTTTGCAGTGTACATTTATTCTGGTTGTATAAAATAACTTTGCTCAGGATAGAACTGTTATAGTTATTAACCACAAAAGTGTAAAAGTAAGAGAGGCACAAAGAACTGGGTGCAACTGTTTCTTTGGGCAAATCCCAAATGTAGCTTGTAAGGTTCTAAATTAGTAGTAGGAAATTATCTCCTATTGCAAACTGAACATTTCACATTGCTCAGATGTGTAATCTGAAGAGTAAATTCATTCACTGTGTTTTCAGTGATATTTAAAAACGCATTTATAAACAGGATCATTCTGTTCTAGACAGGTTGGCTGTATTATAGAACATTAAGCAAGCAACCATAACTTAATTATTTTAGCAGTTGAAATTTAACACTAATCTTTGGATTTTATGCAGTTTTATTCTTTTTTTTTTTTTTTTAATTTTCAACGTTTATTTATTTTTGGGACAGAGAGAGACAGAGCATGAACGGGGGAGGGGCAAAGAGAGAGGGAGACACAGAATTGGAAATAGGCTCCAGGCTCTGAGCCATCAGCCCAGAGCCCGACGCGGGGCTCGAACCCACGGACCGCGAGATCGTGACCTGGCTGAAGTCGGACGCTTAACCGACTGCGCCACCCAGGCGCCCCCCTGCAGTTTTAGTGTCTAGCCCAAATCATTGATGTCTTTTGATCTACCTTTTCCATTCCATTGAATGCATGTAAAAATGTTGCATGATTTTATTAATAGATTTCAGATTCAGTCATTGAACAGATGTTTGCATGACCCAATATTAAGTTCTTTGATGGAAACTGAGATGTGACGCTGTAGTTTCTACTATAAGGAATTTATAGTCTAATAATTTGTTTGCCAGGACCTGACACATGTTTTATAAATAAATGTTGTATTTTCACGGTAGAGTGGAAATAGAATGATACTCTTTTTCTAAGTAAAATCAGTGTGATATTTTCAAAATTTTCTTAGTAGCTCAACACCTATTTCTGTGGTATTATTCCCCCGCACCCGTGGTGTTATTTTCTGACAGCTTACTATTACAAGAAAACCAGTTTCCCAGTTTAAAATACAGTAAAGTAAAATAAGAATTGTTTCCTTACTGTCTATTTTACTTTACTCCAAGACCTTTTTGGGGGGGGGGTGGCAAATCGCTCTCTGCATATATGCCAAACTGTAGCGAAGTCCCCCTCCCTGCCCCCAGTTCAGTTGGCAGTTTTAATTCTGTGTTTAATGCAAGAATGTTTATTTATTTATTGTTGTTTTGTTTTTTTATAGAACAGCTTAATCTTTTTTTCTACACCGATAAAAATCATCTTTTGCCACTAAAGTTAACTATGCCCTAGAATAGAAATGTTCATGTAGATAAAATGCATCACTGTGCATTTTTAGTGAATGCTGGTAGTTTGCCAGCTTTATTTTCAAGTTCCTCCCCCCTCCAGACTTAATTGTGATGTGCTTATAAGGGAACAACAGTATACATAGTTAATTTGCAAAACCAGAATAGTTTTTCTGGTTTTTCCATTTTGCATGTTTTGAGTTAGGATTAATTGGACATTTATTATTCTCAGTAGACATACATTAAAACAGTTCATTTAACTGTGGTGTTTTCTGTTGAAGCATTGGCTGACTTTTAGATAGTGAGCCTAGTGCAATTGTGTGAATACTACTGAATTTTGGATGACATTCTTTACACAGTTTAAAAGTAAGTGTGAGTATAACAGAAGCTGGAAACAAAACCAGTTTGACTTTTTTTTTTTTTTTCTTCTCACTAGGAAGTATTTCTTTTCCAAGTAATATGCCCTTGTTAGGTTCAGGATCATTTTCAGTAATTATAGCCACTTAAACATTTTTTTTTTTCCTGTTTGCAGTAATTCATGTTCCACTGTGGCAGATTTTGAAAAGAACATAATTGTAAAGAAATGGAAAATCATTTATAACCCATCACCTAGAAATAATTACTGCTAACATTTTAATGTACATTTTTCTAGTTCTTTCGTTGCATGTACACATTTTTTAATTTTTTAAAACATGGAATTATACTTTATATACATTGTTTTGTTCCTACGTTTTTCTCTGAACAGGATATTGGTCTCCTAGTGTGGGACTTCTCGGTTGATTCTTTATAATATTACTATTTTAAATAACACTGGGGCAAACATTTTTGTACATTTATCTTTGATTGCATCTCTGTTTTTTTTTTTTTCTTCCTTTAGGATAGATTCCCAGAAGTGGGATAACTGGATCAGAGGGTGGTTACCCTGTGTATAAGAGTGTGTGTCTCACTGCACCTTCAATGGCATTGAGTAGGTCAGTTTTTACAATCTTTGCCAATTTGATAGATATCTGTTACAATTCTTGGGTGGTAATCGCAAAATCCTCTTATTATTAATAATCTGTAAAACCATCACAGTGTATGAATAGTAATTTGCAATCATCTTTGAAAAAGTTGCCTGGAATGAATTTCTTTGAAAATATTTTAGGTGAAAGTAATCTTTGTGACAAGAAAAGACATTCCTTGAAGTTGCAATTTGAGCATTGTTCTTTTATTGGAAAGAAGTAGCATTTTCATGTTCTCCCTTTGCTAAACTGACAAACATGAGAAAGCTTATTGTATAAGAAGCAGTAAGTGGAAATGTCATGTAAAATTAAATCATTTCAGATAGTCACATGGTTCAGACAAAAAAAAAAAAGGCAGTGCAACTTAGTGTTTAGAGCAGTGGCTCTGGACTTAGGCAGCCTGTGTTCAAATCTTTGCTTTGCCACTTACTAAGTATATGATTTGAGGCAACTTACTGAGTTAACTCAAATTTAATTTGAGATAACTTCCTAAATATATGATTTGGTGTTTCTGAACGTTGGCTTTCTCATCTTTACAAGCAGAATAATAATGCCTACTTCTTAAGTTTATTGAGAGCGTTAGAAATAATATGTAAAACTGCTTGGCACAAAGCAAGCATTTAATAAAAGCTAGCTGTTGTTAATTTTTTTTTGCCCGATTGGGGGGGCGGGTAGGGCAGGAGATATCATCTGTGTATCCTTGTTTACATGAATAAATGCAGAGACGCAAGAAGGTCATGAGCAGTGGCAGCTGGAGGGGAGTGGTAGACATTCTTTATGGTAGGAATGGCATGAGCCAAGATAGAAAGTTCAGGACAAGTTGGAGGACAGGGGGTTGATTTGACAGAAGCCTAAGCTTGTGTAATTAGAAAATATGGCGATAAGGCTCTAGAGAGATTTATTGGGCTAGACTTTGGAAGTCATTGAATGCTAGGTTGAGAAGTATAGACTTTATTCAGGAGCATAAGATGTTTTGATATGAGGAAAGTGACCCAGTCAGTGCCTTTATCTTTTGGAAGATGAATCTAGCTACAGAGTACAGAATAAATTGAGGAAGAAAGGGACTGAAGGCAAGGAGGCTGGCTTAATACAGGTAAGGCATATCTGAGGGTTTAACGGAAAGCAAGAGGGAAGGATTTGAGGAGAGTTGCTAGGAGTCATTGTTGTGAAAGTCTCTGGGTCTTCAAGTGCACCCAGTTTGGAGATGAAATTCACAAGGAACAGTCTGAGCCTAATGGATAGACGATGAAGAATTAGGAACCCCGAGAGAACATAGGACTCACTATGTATGCTTTGGTTGTTGCTACTTTTTTTTTTTTTTTTTTTATGTTTTTATTTGTTTTTGAGACAGAGACAGAGCATGAGCATGGGAGGGGAAGAGAGAGAGGGAGACACAGAATCCGAAGCAGGCTCCAGGCTCTGAGCTGTCAGCCCAGAGCCTGACGCAGGGCTCTAACTCACAGACTATGAGATCATGACCTGAGCCAAAGTGGGACGCTTAACCGTCTGAGCCACCCAGGCGCCCCAACTACTTTTTTTTTTAACTGAAGGGTAAAAGATTCCTATTATTTCATGTGTGAAAAGCATATGTTTAAGCTTTCTTCGACCAATGGATAGGCTGCAGAAATGTTATTTATTTAGCATTTGGAGTTCTTAGTTAAAAAGGACCCCTCACTTTTAGACATTATATTTCTGGAGGTATTATCTTAAAATACTTCATTGTAAGGTTAAATTCGGAATGTGGTCTTTCAGCATTTGTCAATGCAACTGGACTTTAGAAGCATCAGTTGTGTGAGCAGAAGTGAAGAAAAGTGAAATGCAGACTTCTCGTTAAACACTTAGAATGCTGTGGGCAGTGAAATACAGAGCAATGAAAAATAGGAAATTGAGTATAGAATCTTCAGAGAGAATAATACTTTTAATATTCTGTCCTTCCCTACTTAATTTCTCAATTAAAAAAAAATATTTGCAAATGTCATTCTTAGTCATTGTGGTACCTGGCTCTAGTTCTGTGCTAAATTGTACTTTCCACTTGGCTGAATAATAAGCAAGAAAGTTTGCCTACAGACTGATATTAATGTTTCTTTGTGACTGGTAAGTAAACTCACATGGGCTGTGGATTATCTGCTCCCTGTCTTCTTTTAATACCACCAGTTGAGAAAAGAAGCAACCCCCAGTTTTTAAAAAATAAATAGAGGCTTGTGATAACTTTTAAGGTATTTACATTTTCTAAACCACTGAATTGTTACACCTTTCTTCATTAGTTATTTGTATTTAAAGGTCTTCCTTTTAAAAGTATTTTTAAAAATATTTTTAAATTAGTAAGCAAATGTAGCACATAGTATTAGAGATTGTGTGTGTTATTTACTACAAATACTGTGTTTTTCTTATGTGTAACTGCAAAAGCCCATGTATTGTCAATCAAATGAGATTTCATTTGCCAAAGAGACCTCAGGTATTCAAAACAGTTACAAGATTCCAGTTGAGTCTCTTTTGAATTGGTTTCAAGATCTTTCAACAGAAATCAGAACTATACTCATTCTCCTAGGTCTGATCACTCTTACCCCTCTCTCCTTCCCAGCCATAGCTGAGAGCAGGATCTTCCCTGTTTTGGGCCATTCCAGCACTGTCGCTGTTAGGGCAACCGTGGCCTTCTCAGTCTGTATGTTTTATATTCTTAGAAGCTTTCCTGCAGGCATCTTGGCAGGAAAAATAAGTTATTAGGTTGAGTGGCTAGCAGCTAATGGCATACTTTTTTATAAGAAAATTCACAATTTTATGTCAGTTATACTTCAATAAAACTGAAATTAAAAAAATCATTTACTTTTTTTAAAGTTTATTTATTTGGGGGGGTGGGGCAGAGAGAGGGAGACAGAGAATCCTAAGCAGGCTCTGTGCTGTCAGTGCAGAGCCTGATGCAGGGCTTGAGGTCACAGACCGTGAGATCATGACCTGAGTTGAAATCAAGAGTCGCACACTTAATGGACTGAGCCACCCAGGCACCCAAAATTCATTTACTTTTTACATGAGGTGACAAACAAAGTGTGTGAAATATTTTCTGTCTGAAAGGATAGACATAAAAGAAAGTTCACTTGTTGAATAGAATGTTGTATACATTTTTCTTATTCTCTGTAGTCAAAAACATTTTTTTTCTAATTTCTTTTGAATCAGTAATTTTGAATGCTAAATGTAAGTTCTTTACTAAGAAATCAGTCTTTCTCCAGAATAGTCTTAAACAGCTTGGCCCAGTGATCCAGCAAATAGTAACTGCATGATTATTGGGTGCCTTGTAGTATTCTAGGAGCTAGAGATAGAGCAGTGAATAAAACATGTTCTCATGGAACTCTTGATATTGGTGGGGTTTGGTGGTGGTAGAGAGAAATAACAAGCAAATAAGGGAACAGGGTAATTTCAGAGATCACAAATGCCCCGAGGAAGCTGTAACAGGGTGAAATAGTAGAGTGATAGGAGGGTTTAGAGTGATAGTAGAGTGATAGCAGGGAAAGCTCTGAGATGGTAACATTTAATCTGAGGCCTGAATGAATAAAAGCTAGATGTGATGATTTGTAAGAAGAGTGAAGTAGGCAGAGGGCCCCTGTGGTACAAAAGCCCTGAAGTGGGAACCAGTAGGTCACGTTTAAGAAGTCCATAGTGATAGGCTGAGAAGAGACTGGTGGATGGGATGGGGTTGGCAAGAATCAAACCACGTCAGGCTTTGGTGAAGGGTTTGGATTTTGTTCTTATAAATACCAGGGAAGACACAGGGTATCACTACCTACTTACCTTTATGGATAAATATATGTAACTTTTGAATTTGAAGGTGGTGTTACTAATGATACTGGCCTAAAACAAATCTGTAGGGTAACCAGTAGTTTCTTTAGACATAGAAAATCACTAACTTGGTAAATAAATTACGTTTTTCCTAGGGGTCTGCAGAGAAAGGAACAGATTATTCCCATATTGTAAAAAGCCTTATGAAAATTATGTATGTTTTCTCAATAGATTTAAATAGGTGAAATATTGTATATCTTTGCTTTGACCAATAACTGTATTGACTCAAATCTTTGTGACTGATTATCACAAATCATTATCATATATTGTGATTTGTAAGCCGTTAATGAAATAAAACATGCTTGCACCTCAAGAACCTAACACTGAGTTTCATTAGTATTTATGCCTTTGGCAGTTTGAGACTTCTGATTAGCTGTTACCTATCTGGTTAATTAAATGTCAGTGCAGTTGGTAGACAAAAATCTACCAAAAATCTAAAGATGTGGAATCTGTGGACAAAAGAAGAGATTTTTCAGAGTAAGGTTGAGAACCACTGATCAGTGTCCTAATCTCTAGAGGGATCTACAGGGAGAAGGGAAGTAATGTTTTTTTGAAGGTAAAATTACTGTATCTCACGTAATCTACACAGCAAATCTGCGAAATATTGTTCACTTTTTACAGATAATAAAACTCAAAGTAATTATATAACTTATGACAATTAACAAACTCTAATTATAAAGGATCATACTGACAGCAAACTTCCAGAAGAGACTACCACAGTTACAAAGCATACAAGTGATCAATAAATATTTATAGTTTACTTATATCCAAACACGAATAAATGAACAAGTAGGTGAATCCCTATATTCTTATAATCCTTTCTTTAGTGTAACACATCATTTTTCTTCCAAATGAGTCTAGAAAATTCCTCAGAAATAATTGGTGTCACCTTTTTTCCTCTGTAAATCTCCCCTCACCTCACCCCCCCTCCCCCCGAAGTTTAAGTTACTTAAAATAAATCACACAGTAAAAATCCTGAGGAGGGAAATAAAGACTAAAAACTTGGGAAAGTATAATTTCCACTTTGATTTTAACTGAGTAGTCTATAATGTTTTTAGTTTTTAAAACATTCAGGATATCATCTTTTGTATTCATATTCAAGATACCATCTTTTGGTTCTATGTCTCTTATTTTTTTTT